AATGTTGTTATATAGAGATGACTTTTATTCTGTGACATTTTGTTTTATTTCTAATGTTTAAAGTGGACTTGATTCTTCTTTATCTATTCTACTAGTGCACTTCATTCCTATGCTGCTTTTCTTTTTCATTCTTCATTTCTTCTTCATAAAATATTTCATTGCGTCCTGTAGTTCAGGCTTACTAGTTATGAATTCTTTTGGTTCTGTTTAATCATGGAAGGTTTTTATTTCATGTTTAATTCTGAAGCTTAATTTTGCTGGGTATAGAATTATTGGTTGACATCCATTTTTCTTTCAGAGCTTTGTATATAATATTTCAAATCCTCTTGGCTTTAGGGTTTGGGTTGAGAAATCAGCTATAATCTGTATTGATTTAGCTCTAAATGTGATCACCCATTTTTTTTCCTGCAGCCCTTACAATTCTATCCTTATTTTGGCATTTCATTATAATGTGATTAGAGTGGATCTATTGTGATTTTGTATAATCTGAGTCCTATATGCCTTTTTATTTGAGTTTATATTTTATTCTTAAGGTTTGGAAATTATTCTGATATTATTTCATTCAAAAGATTGTGCACCCTTTAGCTCAAATTCCAGATTCTTTATCTATCCCAGTGAATCTTAAATTTGGTGGTTTAATGTTATCCCATATGTCTTGAATATTCTATTCATGGTCTCTTAACATATTTTCTTTATGGTTAATTTTATTTTCAAGATTATATACTTTGTCTTTGAGGCCTGAAAATCTATCTCCCAAAGTGGTCTACTCTATTGGTGATACTTTTATTTCGGTTTCTTGAGTGTTTTATTTCTAGAATAACCATTTGGTTTCTTTTCAGAATTTGTGTATCTTTATTGAAATAATCTTTCATTTCCTGTATTTTCTCTCTAATTTCACTTAATACATCTTCATTTAGGTCACAGAGCATTTTAACTATGAACTTCCTAAATTCTTCCTCTGATATTTCCTCCACTGTAGTGTCAATGGACTCAGTCGAAGCATTATGGGCTGTTTGGGATGGTTCATACTGTTTGTATGTCTACCCATCTATAGGTGTAGTTCTCACTTCTTTTAAGAGAGGGACTTCTTTGTGAGTTTCTTTATCTTAAAAGACCTGGGTTGGTAGAATATCCAGATATTGTTTTTTAAGTCCACATTTGATCTCTGCTGATCCCAATATCAGCACTACTTTCAGAGATGCCACTGAACCCTATTTACTATCATCACTTCTGAGCCAAGTCTTATGCTCCTCAACTTTATGAGCAACTAAAATTTGTGGCTGTTGTTTTCCATGGTTCTTCAAATCCAGGTGTAAACGTGGAATAAGTTTCTGGACTAGGTAAAAAAAAATAGTTATTAAGTTTAGTAAATATACTAGAGCCTTAAATGAGGGCTAAATAGGGGGAAAGAAGAAAGGTTGGGCAAAAATGGGTAGGGAAAAGAGAGAGTGAAAATAAGAAAGAAAGATAGAAAAGATATAAAAGCATAATTCAGGCCCATGTATAAAGGAGTAATAGATGGATGGTGTATATTTTTAGTAGCAAATAATGCCAGAGAATGAATAGGTCTAAGAGGAGCATTTATCAGCTAGAGCTAGGAAAACAAATATTGAAGATCAATTTCAATTAAATGCTTTATATCATTAGATGAAATACATCCAAATGGTTTGAAGGTACAATGTTGGTTATTGGGTAGGAACTATCATTCAAGTTAAGGAGTTGTATATGATCAAAGTTTGTGTTAGAGTTAATTTATAGTAAACCATGCCTAGGTGAAAAAAAAATCTTTTTGAATCTGGGTTTGGATTTCAGTGGGGTTTGGACATTTAGCAGATTACCATCATTCTTTGGCTATGGATCTGTCCTGATTACAGGGGCGTAGTAGTAAATTTGTAAGGTGCTGTGAACCTCCACAACTGATTCTGGTTTGTCAGCTCAGGGGCCTGACGCTGACTGCTTGGAGGGTGCAGTGTTGGATGTTGGTTGTTTCTATTGTGTGCAGGAGATCAGGATGCAGGTTCTGGAGTGTGCCTATGAGTACTGTGGCTCACTGTGTACCTGTTCCCCTCCATAGGATCCTTTTAATGGTGTTGAAGATCCTGGTGGTTGTCTGTGCATACACGACTATGAGTGCAGGAATTCTGTGGTTTGTGGTGCAGCTGTCTGGGTTTGGGAAGTGGACATGTTGATTTAAGGGGATGAATTTAAAGGGCTGAAGGTGCCATGAGATGACTGTGGATTCCAGCTCAGTTTCCTTTTCAGATTTGGTTTTAAGCTGGTTTTTCTGTTTTTAGGACTCTGTTTTTCCTGTCACACTTAAATTTTTGTCTGCCTTTCTACTTATTTTTAAGTGGGTAAGCTTAAGAGTTTTTCTGCTCCCACCTTTCTCCTTCACTCGCCCCTCCCCACTTCACCTACCTGATTCGATTTTAAGGTTAGGAGACTCTGCACTTATTTTCTACTCTGGTAACTAAGCTTTAAGTCTCTCCAGGTATCAGATTTTGCAATATTGCTTCTTAAAGTATTTATTTTGTCATGCGAATCTCACTTCTGCTTTTCCTTCACTGCCTCTTTCTGTGTTGAGAGGTGTTTGGGACTTTCTAGCTCCCTTCCACCATCTTCACCAGTCTAATCCAAGGATTCTTGCTCTGGGATTCACTTCAGTGTATTTTGGCTTCCAAATTATATTTGGTTACCTTAGTAGTTACTTCTCGTTCATGTAATGATTAAGTTATTTTTCTATAGCCTTTTTCTTCTCTCATCCTCTCCCTCACACTCTGTATTTTTTTCTTCCCCAGTATTTATTTCCAGACTCTGACATGTCCCTGTCTTTGAGGTATTAGAGATATAGTTGTGGACAAGAGGAACACAATGGAGAAAGTAAATCTTCCTTGTGTGAGTTGTGCAGGATCATGCAGATAAAGGGAGACAAAGGTGTCAAGTTTACGGTTGATTATTAGGTGTAGGTGGTGTGATAAGTAGACATTAGGAGCTTAGTGCAAAAATAAGCTATTTAGAATAGGGGGCTGGTGATGTGGGTCTTTGGTGGAGCACTTGACTATCAATTATGGGGCTCTGGGTTCAGTTCCCAGCATCACAAAACAAACCATCAAACAAAAACTGTAAGCCTGTGGTTCACCCTGTTATCTCCCTCCTTAGAGGCAATGAAGATAGTGGGTTCTACTGGCTGTTGTTTCCCATGGGCTTTCCTGATAGCCTCTCATGATTAGTGTATTTTTTTTTAATAACCTGGGATGCCACCTTTCACCACTTATTTTGGTTTGTTGATTGACTGTGTTTACTTTGGAACTAATTTTGTGTTCCTAGAAAGGCACTTTCTTTACTGTCTTATTTAGCTCCAAGCAGGTACTTCCCTGAGTTGCTTGCTTGGATTTCCAGGGGAAACATATAACGGCAGTTGTTGGCATCTTAGAATCATATAAACTAATTGACTCAAATAGTTTATTTTTGTGGCTCTTAGGATATTTTAAAATAACAGAAATGTAGAAAAATAGTCTGATTACTCAAATGATATGATTGATTATGTAATAATTAATGTCACTTTATCATTAATATAATTTTCTTCAATTTCTCATTTGCTTTCCTCTCCTCACATAATTGCAAAAGGAAATTAGTACATTTCCTTACCTTACCAATACCATTATCAATGATCAAACTGGAAAATGTCTCCATATCGTCACCTGTTTCAAGTCCATCTTTTTTGTGACAATCATTTATATTATTAAAAATACAGTAAACAATTGCTTTAGACCCATGATTGATGAAGATTTAATACAGATGATTTTTTTAAATTTCATGATTCTTATGGTTTTCTTGGTCTTAAATCTTTTTTGTTTAAAGGTAGTAAATAAACATGGATATAAAGGAAAGATGAAAAATAGGACAGACATTTATTTGACATTCAATACCTTGTTGACTTTCTTTCTTTGTAAATTATTCTCTGTTCAGTACTGACTAGCTAGTCAAAATCTGAATCCCATAAGACATTATGTTATTGGTCATAATATCTTACTTAAAGTAGAGGAAAAATTCAAGAAAAGTCTCCTTTGGGAAAGGTTTCCTAAAATGCCCAGCAATTACATTTTAGTAGCATCAAGTCCATATTTATATTCAAGTCTTTTTTTAGTTTACAATAGTTATACAGAATAATAGATTTCATATTGGCGTATTTGTACATGCATATAATATTTTGGTCAAGGTACCTAAATGTCTTTTATACTTCATTGGTTAATAGAAGCCAATCAGGGCCATGGGTAGCATTTAATTATGATCTGTTTGTAGATTTCAAATTCCAGATCTGTTTCCTACTTTTTACCTCCCCCAAATCTTCTTTCTCCCTTACCACACATTTATTTGTTGTAAAGATTGGGCCAGTTGTCCTGTGGATTATCCGCTTACCTGGATTTTTCTGAAAAGATGAATCAGGTGTACCGAGGTAAGTTAGGTATACAAAGCATAATTTTGGGAAAAATATTAAACTGAAAAGATGCTAAAATGGTATGGTAAAAAACATACCTTCCTGGCCCCAAGTTGACTCTCTGTTTATTGGTCCACTTGGGATCATTTTGTGGAGGTGGTGTGTCAGAGGGAGGTGGTTAGAACACACTGAAAGATCACTACAGGCAGTTTCCTTTTCCTCTCCTATCTTAATAGGGATTTCCTTATGTCAGAATGGTATTCTTTAGTGTTGTAACTTATTATCGTAAAACTAAATATTTGACTTGGTTAGGAACATAAAGGACTATTAAAAGCCTGAGCTTCATATCAGGTGCAGTCACTTGGCAGCTCTGCACTGGGGCTCAGCTTATGCATGTGGTGAATGAGAGACCTTCTCCTTTTCCCAGGTATCATTTCCATGATGTACAAAATAATGAGCATAATGAGATAACATGTCTCTTTGAAGAATGGTACAGATAAATTCACCAAATGACAGTGACTACACTCATTCATGTGGATGATGATAATAATTTGTGTTTCAGGTGAAATCTAAAGGAGAAAGAAAAATGGTTAGTATAGGAATGGAGCTGATCCTTGATCCTTCCATCTTGTTCCTGGATGAGCCCACAACTGGTTTAGACTGGAACACAGCATATAAGATCATTAAACTCCTGAAAAGGTAAATGCTATGGCAACATTGTTTTTTCATTTATTTACTCTCTGTTCATTGCTATGTACCTGGTATTCTTAGTGCAGAGGATCCAGAATGTTAAAAAAAATGTTTCTCTTGGTTAGTGTGATACAGTCAATAAATAATAAATGGTTCAAGAAAGATGAAACGAGAGCATAGGGAAGGAAGTTCATGTGAAGTTGGGAAGCTTTTAAAATAGCAGGAGGGTCAGGGAAGACAACAAGCATGGGACACAGGAGCTGAGAAAGAGAAAGAGAGAGAGAGAGAGACAGAGTCAGAGAGACAGAGAAAGTGAGATATGCTATGAATTTAGCAGAGAGTTCTAGTTGGAAGAAGCAACCAGTTGCCCTGAGGCAGAGCATGTTGATGTGTGTGGAACATGACAGAGGCCAGGACAGACCTTGATACTAAGAATAGTGGAGGTTGGCTGGGGGCTTAACAAAAAAAAAATAATAATAATTTTCTTATGGCTCTGGAGGCAGTAATTTGAGTTGATGCATCCTCAGGTTTGTTTCTTCCTTAGCCTCTCTCCTCGGCTTGTAGAAGGCCATCAACTCTGTTGTATGTTTTTGCCCTAATCTGCTCCTAATTGGACAGGCAGATGAGGACCCTCAAGGACCTCATTTAAATTTAAAGACCTTTTTGAAAGCACTATGTCCAATGTGGCCACATCCTGAGGCACTGGGGGATAGGATTTTAACATCTTAGTTTGGGGAGGACCCAGTTTAGCCCTTCACGGGTGGATTAGGACATGAGGTGGAGTGGATCTGGTTGCAGACTGCATTGTCCTCAGAGGCCATGTAAGAAGTATGGCTTTTCCTGTCACTAGGGGACATGAGGATGTTTTGAGAGTTCTAGAGCAGAACAAATGCTGTATACAAGACTGTGCTGTAGAGCAAGGGTGAGGGAGGACCCCATGAAGGACTCACTGAAAGATGAAGGAGTTTTGACTAGGAGGATCGTAGTGAGAAGTGGATGGTTTCTGGGTTTGTTTTCAAGGGAACTAAGAGGATCAGACCAGGACTGGACCTGGGATGGTAGGATCCATACAAACTGCTAAGATTTGGGGCCTGAAGAAGTGGAGGAATGAAATTTAAGAAATGATGTTTCCTTTTATCAAGATAGAAAAATGTTTGGAAATATTTATAGGAAAATTTTCAATAGCTCAGATTTAGACATCTCATCTTTAAAACTATAGAAACATATTTCCTACTGATAGAAAGGATCCAAGAACAAAACAAGTGAACTCTTCTCTCTTTGATTTCACTGCACCTACAGCCCCTCCTTCCCTTTTGATGCTCCCTACATAGTTTCTATCTGTCATCATGCCCGTTCACCCCAAATACTCCCTACTGCAGACTCCAGTCAGGGAGGCACATCATCATCTGCACACCCTAGACAATAAACATGACTTTCCCAGGATCCAATCCAGAGCTGCTCAAATTTCCCCAGTTATCCCTACTGTCTCTGTTTATATTCTGCCTCAGAATCCTCTCCAGAAACATACTTTTCCTGTCTTTTTACAACCTGGAGCAGTTCATTTGGTGACTCTCAGCTGCGTGCATCAGGTGAGAGTTATCAATGCAACATACCTGGGAATGCGCCCCCTATAGGTGGTAGCAGCTTCAGCCCTCTGATTGTGGTGGTGTCAGTCTCCATCATCTGATTGTGATGGTGTCTATTGGGCCTCTTTGCTCTGAAATTATAATTTTTACCCTGAGAAATGATTAGCATTTTGTGGTCTTATGCCTTGACTTGACCAGTAGAAACCTCTTCCATGTGGCTTTTGTGTTTTCACATGTCCAGTACGATTCTTTTACAGTACTTTACTTCATGGTCACAATGCTATTTATGGCTTATCATGTTCATCTCCTGAGTGAGCACTTTCTTCTAGCAGTCCTGGTTTATTCTGGTATAGTTAACACTTAGAGATCAATATCTGTTTGTTCAGTGTGCTCACTGATCCTAGAGTGGCATTGCTTCTAGGTCCATAGTAGACAGACCTAGGAAGTACATGTATAAATGTGTTTATGTCTATACCCACACATAATATTAATATACTTTCATGTTTTATTTGGAAATATATTAAATAACAATATGAGCCTTTGTATATGTGTATGAGTGTGTATGTATGTATGTATATATATATATATATAATTTTTATTTTTTCCTTGCTGGGGATCCTCACCTAAGGCTTTGTGCATACTATGCACCCACTGTATTAATGAACTACATCTAGACTTCATATCTATTTTTTTCTATAAAAATACATGCATAAACAAAGATCTATAACTATTATTGTTTATGTTAGTGTGTATATATTGAAAAGCCCATGAGTTCATAAAAATATTTGTGATTTCAATCTAACACCACTGTCTTATGTTTAGTCTTTGCCATTTTCATGTCTGTAAGTGACTTTGGACAGGGAGAGCTTGGGCTGCCATTATCTCAAAATATTTACTTACTTACTCAGGGAAGTACTTTAATTTTTACTGGAAACACTCTCCCAGTAGTTCTGGTCACTGCTTTTTGTCCACTATCCCTGGAAACTCCTCTGTTCCATCTTTTTCAGCTGCTAGACACACCATCATTGGGAATTTGGATATTCTATTTACATTACCTTCAGACTGGGTTATCACTCTCCTTTTTTTGTTTTTTACAAGGAGCCATTAGCTACTTTTAATCCACATCTTATTGAAATTATAGATTCTCATCTCATGTTTCTCTTTGAGGCAGAAGATCCTTGGATACATTGTTAGATACCCAAGGTCCTTATCAAATACTTGAATTAAAGTGATTCTTTTAAAATATTTTAAATAACAGTTTTGAATAGTGATTTTGGCCTTTGTGTCTTCTACTCATAAGTAATAATTTCTGTAAAAGATAGTTTAGCAGTGTTCCTAGCTTTGCATTAGATCAGAGCTTAGATCCCAACCTTTCCCCATTAGTAACTGTGAGCCCTTGGTCAGTTGCTTAACTTTTAAGCCTTACCTGTAAAAGGAGGAAAATAATAATATTAGACTTTCCTTTTAACAACATGTGTAAATGGAAATGAATTTCACTCTAACTCATTTAGCAAATATATCCTGAGTGCTTAGTAATAATATTAGAGTATCTGCAATGCTTATTAAGAATACAGATTTCCTATGCATACTCCCAGAGATTGTAATTCCCTGTCTGGGAAAACTATGTAGAAACCTGCATTTTCACTAAATTCTAGCCAATTCTGTACTTTGATGTACCAAAATTTAAGAATCTTTAGTCTTCTGAATAAAAGCATTGGCTTTAGCTTCCCCAATTCTCAAGTATATAATATAAGTTGAAATGAGAACTTTGTAAGAGAAAATCAAGTTGATCTGAGATAAAATGCTCTACTGGCAGGAATAAAGCATTTTACCAAGAAGTTTCCAGTTCAGATGTTTAATGATTCATTATTTTCCCTTTTAACTTAGCATTTCTGAGCAGGAAAGAACAATCATCTTCTCCATTCATCAGCCTGGGTACTCTATCTTCAACATATTTGACAGTCTCACCTTATTGGCCTCAGGAAAACTAATGTACCACGGTCCTGCACAGGAGGCTTTGGAGTACTTCAAATCAGCAGGTGTGTTTGACCTTTTCATGCACTAGATTTTTCATTCATAGACTCCTGAGGAGAGCAGAGGGGGCAGCAGGAGTACTACTTGATCTTTGCAGAGACCTAACTGGATTTTCACCACTCCAAAACATTTTTGATCAGTTTGGTGCCAGAATTTTTCTTCATTTTGCAGAACTTGCTTGTTGTTCAGGGTTCTCTCTTTCTCTTCTCCTATATGAGTATGCATGGTGTGTGTGTGTGTGTGTGTGTGTGTGTGTGTGTCTTGGGCCTTTGTCTGTTCTCTTCCCAGGTGTGGTATCCTTTCCCTGATAGTTTAGTAATTAACATGTTACATTTATAGCTAGTTATTCTGTTAGTTGAACACTTTTGAAAAGTCCCAAATCATTGCCTTTTCGACCATGCAACAATTTGTTGTTTTCCAGTGTTTCCCCTGACACGTGATCTTGCTCTGTTTCTCTGAGGGTTCATGAGATGCTGCTGCATTTTCTAGTAACATTAGATTGAAGATGTAAGTCTTGAGTGGTGTGACTATTAACTCAATGGAACAGCCTGCCCTGAATCTGACATTAATGGGCCAACATTTCCAGGCTCCTTGGTTCTTTCTATTTCAGATTAAATATTATGATTTCTTTAATGGATTTTCCATCTTCTTCTTTTTAGAAGTTTTTGGGTATTATTATAGATGTTTCTCCATGACCCTAAATCAAATTGTCAATATTATCTTTCTCAATTTGTTTTTATTAAATCTTTGTTGTTTAAAAATAATCAAACACATGTGAATCTGGGGAATCCAGGGAAGATGAACTAAAGAGTCAAGCATAGGTCAAGTTTAGATGATTGTGCCACAGGAAGTTGAGGTGACTGCTCAGGTGTGCTGTGCTGGTTATGTTCTCTTGATAGTGCTTCTCTGGGAATTTGTTGTCAATTTGGAATTATGTCAGCTTGAGTTGTGATTATTTGGATCTCTGGATTAAACAGGTTGCCAAGCAATCCTTGCTGATGTGCCTCCTGCCATTCCAGTATTCTCTAGGAGAACTCAGAGTATGCAATACACACAGAAACTTAGTGTTTTTTCCTGGACCTATATTTAGATTTTTGAAGGAGTATTGATAAGTACCAGAGCATATTGATAGCTCCTTGGGGATTTATGAGAAGTGAAGACTAATAATATAAGATGTTCTGAAGATTTCAAAATATTTTGAAATATGCTTTTTTTAAAACTTGGGGACTGAGTGATTGAAATATTGTGTGACTGAATAACTCCATCAGACTTATTGAGTTTTCTCTATTTTCCAAGGCCTAGGTTGAGTTCGTGGTGTGTCTTCTTTTCTAGGTTACAAAAGTGAGTGCTATATCACCCCTGAAGAATTCTTCCTGGATATCATTACTGGTATAATAAAGAGAGAGTCAGAAGACCATGAAGGTATGTAAAGATCTTACATTTACATATTTTTGCCAAATTGAGTTGGTAGAGATTTAGCAATGCAGTGGCTCATTAAAATGTGGGCTTGTGAATTTACACATTAGTGCACTGGCCAGAAAGATTTTTTTTGTTAGTGAGTAAGTGTATTTTTATTGACTTTACAAATTATCATTTCTTTTTGTACTCAAGTTTCAGATTTTAGGAGTTATACAAATAAGAGTTCACAGAAAAACTGGTGAAACCAGTAGTAATCTGTTATTAATGAGGTAGTAATCTGAGGCCTGTTATCCACTTTTATTCCAGCTAACAACACTGAAATGCCTTTAGAGAATGAAGAGTCAGTCATAGAATCATTAGCTGATTTTTATACAAAATCCACCATCTGTGGAGAAACAAAATCTGAACTAGAACGACTCTCAAAGGATCTGAACAAGAGGCGCTTATTCAGAGAGGAGATCACCTATGTTACCTGTTTTGGTCATCAGCTCATACACATCACCCAGCGTTCATTCCAAAACTTGGTGGGTCATCCCCGGCCCTGGATAGTTCAGGTAACTGACAGATTCTTCTAATTATGCTCTGAAATAATCATGTGAGAGCTATTTGTTCTGATATGAACTGCTCCAGGATTGTTTTATCTTCTACCCATCCTTCCATTTACTTGTCATTCCCACTTTATTAGAGATATAGTCAATTGAACCAGTGTTATGGTTTGGATATGAAGTGTCCCCAAAGACTCCTGTGTTGAAAGCCTAGTCCCCAATAATAGCCATTCAGAGGTGGGGCTCTTGGAAAGTGGTTGGATCATTTGACCGCATCAAAGGATTAATTGATTGAGTGGTGGATTATAGCTTGATAGGAAATTGGGAGGTGGAGAAACTGTAGGAGGTGAGGCCTAGTTGGAAGAAGTAAGTCACTGGGGTAAGGGGTGCCGTGGAACAGTTCATCTTCTCTCTGGCTGCTTCCTTGGCCTCTCTGCTTCCTGGCTGCCACGAGGTGAGCAGCTCTGCTTTATCATGCCCTCCTGCCATGATGTGCCACGTCACCTCAAGCCCAAAACTACTTAGCCAGCACACCATGGACTGAAACCTCTGAAATGTGAACCAAAAAAATCTTATCTCCTGTCAGGGTCTGTGTTTCTGTGACCAAAATACCAGAAAACAACTTCAGGAGAAAAGGTTATTTGAGGCTTATGGCTTCAAAAGTCTCAGTTCATGGACAACTGACTCCATTGTTCAGGGCCCAAGGTGACAGAGCACATGCCATGCTTAGGAAGCAGAGATGAGAGGGAGAAGGGGCTTCAGGAAGAACAACCCTGTCAGGGCATGCTCCCCAGTGACCCACCTCCTCCAGCCACACCCCATATGCCTACAGTTACTACTCAGACTTTCCATTCCAACTAGGATGGACTGATTAGGTTATAGCTCTCACAGTTCAATCATTTCACCTCTGAATATTCCAGCATTATCACAGAAGATTTTGGGGGATACCTCATATCCAAGTCATAACCTCCCCTTTAAGCTGATTTTCTTACGTATTTTATCATAGTGATAAAACATTGAATAGCACAACAGGTCAGACACAATTAAGTTTTTACTTGTGCAATGCTTTGTTAAGTGTTTTCCTGGACTATATAACTCAAAAGTTTTGATGATATAAACAAACTGTAATGGAAAATCTTCATCAAAATTTCATTTTTAAAAAAATGTTAAGTAAAGACAATATCAACTAAATATGGCATTTTTCTAGTAGCTGTCCACTATCATTTATTGATTCATTCCAAAAATTCAACCCAAGAGTCTGTGTTCCATTTTGAGACTCTACTACACTAGTGAATGAAATGGGTAAAAATAAAAACCTCCACTGACATAGATCTTAATTTCTATGAGGACAGAGGTATAATAGTTGAATACAGAAAATATGTAGCATGCCAGATGGTAGAAGGGACTAAGAAGGTTTAAGGAGAGAGAAGGTTTAAGGAGAGAGGGCAGAAAGTAGACCAATGAGTATTGGTTTGCCCTTGATATCAGGTGTTGAAGGAACCCAGTGTTATTGACTGGGTTAGTTTGTTTTGTGCACTGAGGGAAGAGCCTGAAGGCAGAATGCTGTTCTTTATAATTAACCCTCCTCATGAAGAGATTCTAATATTGGTATAGCAACAGATGTCTCAAAGAATGTGCAGTTTATGCACAGGAAGTAACCAGACCGAACAAGGCTAATCACTGTCCACTTAACTCCCTTAAATAAGATATGATGATGTGTTTTTCTTTTTTTACTGGTTCTGTGGTAGTGATTGATTATCACTCCTCTGGGCTTTTTGTTTCTCCCCAGTGCTGGGGACTGAACTTAGGGCCTCACACATGCTAAGCAATTGCTCTGCACCTGAGCTAAAAACCCCAGCCCATTTTTTTTAGTTATTCATAGCCCAATGCCACACAAAACACTAGTTCTCTCAGACCATTGGCCCATCATTTATAAGAAAACAATTTAGCTGGTTGTTTGGGGATTATTATTTTTATTATCAATCATTGAGTTTCTGTGGAGTATTTAGATGTGTCATGTTGTTGGCTCTAAATAACTGACTTCTCAGCATGAGCACCACACTTTTCATATTTAAGTACTGTTGCTTTCCAAGTGTGCCTGAGAGCCAGCATCCCCTTTCCAGTCATATTGTCCACGCTGCAAACATTTTTGATCCTGTGCTTTGGCATTTCTCTCAGAAAACAGGCACTCTGATTTCTTATCAAAAGTAACATATTATTCTTTAATAGTAGATCTAATGTCATTTGAAAAATTGTCAGGTGAGTTAGATCCATGAATCTAATTGCCCATTGTTCAACAGTGACATGATGTTTGTAATGAGTTGATTCTTTAGATTTATGCATTAGGTTTTTCTTTCTTGCCTCTACTACTGGTATGCAATGTCCAAGACACATAGTAGTTATGGGCAGGCATTATTAAAACATGGCTACTTGTAATACACCAGGATTGTGCGTGTTTGGGGTCTAGGCTTCCTTAAGGTGCAGACACTAGGCCAAGAGGCTCCAGGTTGCATGTTCAGCCTACTTGCCTCATCAGTGAACTCAGTTCCACAAAAGGAATTCCAGCAATGTTCAAAGAAGAAGCAATCTCTAAAATAAAAGTAGAACCCTGTAATTCCCTGCTTTCAGCAGGACAACTCTTGTCCAGGTTTGTAAATGTTGGCATATTAGCTGAGGAGCAAGCAAATACTTTCTGGTAAAGACTCAGAAGGTAAATATTTTGCACTTTGAGGGCCACATATAGCATTTTTCTCAAATATTCAAAATACTCAACCTTGCCACTTCAGTATAAATCTAGCCACAGCTAATATTTATTCAATAATTAACATGACAGTGTTTAAATAAAACTTAATTCATAGACACTGAATTATTAATTTCATAGATGTTCCATATTGAGAGAAATATTATTCTTGAGATTTTCCTCCCAATTATTGGAAAAAACATTTTTAGTTCACAGGCTAGGGCTATTTGTTCTATGGGCTATAATTTACTGACTCTTGACAAAGGGTTCTTATTCTTGTATTATGATTATTTCTCTAAGCTTTTGAAAATGGAGTTGCTAAAATGTATTACATCTTCCTGCTGATAATCCTGTATTTATTGCCTTACTACTGTCCTTTGTTTTGGACTAGTCATTTATTGACATGATTCAGACTCTCTTATCTCACCAGAAAACATATTGGAAAGATCTACAATGAATGGATTCTTTTAAAAAGAAGGTTTAGTGTTCATTTAATGTGCTATGTTTTCTGATCAAATCAATTTGAACAACATTGTTATTAATCACTCAGAGTGTCATTGTTTCTATTTGCATATTAAACAATTAAAGAGTTGACTATGCATCCTCCTTCTTCCTCTTTTCCTCTTCCCCTCCCTCTTCTCCTCCCTTCCTCTCCTCCTCTTCCTCCTCCTCCTTCTTCTTCTTCCTTTGTGAAATCTGCAAACAATCCACAGAACACACCTTGAGAAATGTTGTTTAAATACATCTGAACAAAAGCACAATAAAATGGTTGGAGAATTTCTTATTTTATCTGTTTTGAACAGAAACCAGAGGACAGATGCACAAAGCTCAAGATAATGTCATTTGCTCTGTTGTGAAATGTCCAGTTTGCTCCGTGGCTTTCTTTTTCTCTGTACAAGAAGGAATAACACACATGAACCTTGTAAAAGCATGGCATGATTATGGATTTATTATTTTCTCAGGATGTTTGGAAATTGGCTGAAAATAGGAAACATCCTAAGATAATATTCAGTCTTAGTATAAGATGCCAAGTTTGGATGCAAAAGAAACAAAGAATGCAGAATATCTGTTTTGAAGTTTGGATGTCTTTAAAGTTATACTGTGAGAAAGCATAGAATCTTGTATACATATGCATACTACATGTCAATAGAACCATCTGCATTTATTTTGAAAGTCTGATCTGTTGAAATGAAGTAGAGCATATTCTGAGGGTATTGAAATGTGGCAGGACAATGTTTTCCTCCCTCAATTTCTTTTATTAGCAAAGGGATTTTAAGGACATCTCATAGGTGAAACATTTAAATAATACTGTTTCCAGAATCTGGTCTTTACAAACTAGTCTTTACAGATCATGATTCTGTTTTTGCATTTTGTCTGACTTTTTGCCATAAGTGTGCTTTACAAATTAGTTCATGGCATGATATTGTGGTAAATTTGAGGTTTTTTTAACTTTTAAGTTTCCAATAAATGTGGTAAGATTTTTTTCTTTATATTACAATTTTCTCAATTATTATATTCAACCTAAGAATAATTTTAAGAAGAATTCTCCTAATAGACTATATTACAGTGTAACCCTTCACCTTTTACAAATTAAAACTTTCTTAAGCCACTTTTTATTCTACAAACAAGTGTGATATTGGTCCATTCTATCTGGGGGCCTTCACATACAGTGTGTAGTTAAAGATGGGCAGGAATGGCAAAGAATTGGAGACTCAGGTGTGTCAAGTAAAGTGTAGGCATTGGCTGGCGTTGAAAGACAAGCAACGTCAGAGGAGATGGTAATGGAACCTTTGAGCGTGCTCAGCTGGCTGAGTGCTTTAATAACAATGACAATGTATTTTCCAGTACAGGTGGGGATTCCCACAGGTTGGATATGAGCATGTCCTTAGCATTCAAAATTCCATTGTTAGAATGCGTGTGTGTGTGTGTGTGATTAAGTTTTGTTCATCTGTTAATTTTGAAGTAATGAAGATCAAACCCTAGGTGTGGCACATGCTACAACAGCATTCTATTGGTGAGCAGTATCTCCAACCCTGAAATTTCAGATATTTCTAATGATTAGAGTAAAGCCACTTGTTTTCACTTGAACCTCTTGAAGCACAAAGCTTCGATTTCACTGGCATGACAGTTGAGAGCTCAGTTCTAGTCAAAACTCTGATTTTGTTTCTGAAATGACTTCCCCATGCCTGTATTGCTCTGCTGTGCACTGTGCCTAGAGGAAACTTAGCTTGTCTAGTCCTCAGCTCTCTTGTCCTATCAAGTGTCCAAACAACAGAATCCTTACATTTTCAATTTGATTTTTAAAGCATTGGGACTCCGGCCAAGTCATTTAAGGTGTGCATTTTAGTGGAGAAATTTGATTGGGTAGCCCTATATTTTATAACAAAATTTTACAACTCTTTTCTTTTTCTTTTCATTTTTCTTTTCGAAAAGTTAATTGGCACATTGATTCTGGGACTCGTGGTAGGTGTCACTTTTCTTTTGCTGAGGGATCACTGTACTGAAATCCAAATTAGGTAAGTAAATTTGGATCTTGCTTTTGAGAAAATTCTGTCTCTTGGTTCAAGCTCAGGGACATCAGATAAGAATTTGAATTTATGACAATGCAGGGTGTTTCTCTTTTACTATGGGGCAGCATGTGTTAGTGTATTGTAAATCAATGGAGGAATTAGTTTGTGGTTTTACACATATATATGTGATGGTAAGTTACACACATCTCCTACACAACTTAACCATTTTTAAGTGCACAGTTTGGGGGCATCAGATACATTCACATTGTCAACTTGTCACCACCATCCAACTCCAGAGCATTTTTTCATCTTCCCAGGGGGAATCTTCAACCCACCTAAGAGTAACTACCCTCATCCACCTCTGCCACCTTTGCAACCATCTTTAACTTTCTGTCTCTGAATTTGGCCATTCTAGGAACCTCATGAATGTGAAGTCTTACAGTATTCATCTTTTCATGACTGCTTTAGTTTCCTTAGCATAATGTTCTCAAGTTTCTTCTAAGTTATAACAGGTATTCTAATTTCTTTTCATTTTTAAGGTTAAGGAATATTCTGTCATATGTGTATACAATATTTTATTTATCCACTCCTCTGTTGCTGAAAATCTGGGTTGCTTATACATATTGGTTATTTGTGTGACACTGCTATGGGGGTACACATACCTGTTTGAATCCTGTTTCTAACAGGGCTTTGGGACAGAGACCCAGAAGTAGAATTTCTGTTTCATTTGGAAATTCTGTCACTTTTTAAAACCACTACCATACTCTCTTCTACCTCATTTTACATTCTTACCAGCAGCACACAGAGTTTTAATTTCCCACATTCTCATTAAAACTGTTTATTTTTTGTTTTCTGATATAACAGAGATCACTAGATCTTTGGAGATATGTGTTTTAAGTCCTTTGTCAATTTTAAAATAGGATTATTTGGTTTTGGTGTGTTTTATTGTTGTTGTTGTTGCTAAGCTGGAGATCTTAATGTATGGGTTTTTCATCTCTTTTCAGATACATGATTTACACCTATTTTATCCATGGGTTTCTTTTCTCTCTGTTGATAGTACCTTTTATGCACAGATGGTTTTAATTTTGATATAGTCCAGTTGATCTGTTTTCTTTGGAGGATTGTAAGCCAATTTTATTGATGCTTTTCATTTGCGTGACTTGGGAGTATAGGACACATGATGGGATTGAGTTGTTCCTGCTTCTCACGTGGATAGCTCTTTATCAGTGTTATGATTCTTTCTAGTTTCAGTCATAATGTGTCCTAAAAACTATCATTCCAGGGTGTCATTTTAAACAGCTGCATCATAGTCTGAACCCAGATTCTGAACATCGGAGTCTGCAGGGTTCTCATCATAATTCTTGTAAGGAGAACCACTCCTTGCTAGGCTCCATTATCAACAGCTACGGCTCATGTTACCTCTTAATGGCCAGAGGAGTGGATGGTCTCATCCTTATTTTACTATTGATAACATTTGAAGAATTTTATATTGAATCTATTTTGATAACTAGAAAAGGCTTGATTGCAAAAGCTCAGTCCTTGTCCCAGATGCCAGTCGAAATAATGAGAACAGATTTTTGTGAAAAAGAAAAAAAATAAGTTTTATTGATTTACTAGTATGTGAGGAAAAGAGCAGACTAACATTTCCAGAGCTATTGTCCTCTCTTCAGGGGGGAAACAAAGGGCTATTAAAGGAAAATTCTGGGACCAGATTCCAAGTGTGACTTTTTTTTTTTTTACACAGTACCTTTATTTTATTTATTTATTTATGTATGGTACTGAGGATTGAACCCAGGGCCTCACACATGCTAGGCAAGCACTCCACCACTGAGCCACAACCCCAGCCCCACCTAGTGTGACTTTTTTATTCTTGTTCATGAGCTGAAGAATATGATAACCCAGCCTGGGACAGGAAGAATATTAGAGTAGAAAGGTTCATACTCAATGCCTAAAGTAGATCCCTGTTACAGGCCCACTGTTCATTTATTTATTTATTCATTTTTATTTATTCTAATTAGTTACACATGACAGCAGAATTCATTTTGATTCATTGCCCACTGTTTTTGAATGAATCAATAACCATAAAAGTCAATTCATTACTCAGGTAAAGTGAATTTTTCTGCTTATTTAATCAGATACTGTTTTCCCATGAAGAGACAATTATTACAGCTGTTTTCCAATGTTAAGTCACTTTTTCATCTTCTAAGGACAGAAACGTTTAGTTGTGTTTTTTTTTTGTTGTTGTTTGTTTGTTTTGTTTTCACAGCTCTGCTAGTACTTGGTTTATGTCCTGGGAAGATGTCATTTCTTAACCAAGTTCAGTATACTCACAGGCTCTCAAAGTCATGCCAGGAAGCATTTAGAAATATTGAAAATCTGTCATCAATTGCAATAAAGAAGTGAAATGCTAGCCATTAAAGTTTTTAGTAGAGTAATAAAGAGGAACTTTAGCAGAAGGATTCTTGAGAAATGGAACACTAACCTTATCTTAATTTATATTTTTGACTTAGATTTGCTACCACCTTTTTGTAAGTTTGGGCATTGTAAAGTGGCCTGTGTATGTGGCTTATCACATCCATCTTGATGTGATAAGTTCTAAAACAAGTTCCACACAGACAAGATAAACTGGGTTTAAATGGGCTGGCTGCAACACGAAGCTAAGAATCCAGCAAAAAAATTATACAACAAAGAAGGTAGTATCCAGAAAGCTGGGGAGGACGGCTGTTTGACCTTAAGGTTCAAGCTTCCAGACTGGAAAGAGGTGAGCAAGCCTGCAGTTCCTTTATTTATACAAAAGGGGGCTTCAAAGGATATCCAAGGAATGTTCTTTTGCCCAATAAGGTAGGAGGTGGATTGTCCATGCCCAATGGGTAACACCCAACTACACAGCAGCCTCTATAGCCCAGCCGAAGACTTAGATCACTGGCTTGGCTTTGCATAAGCCACAAAATGACTTGTAAGGCCAGACTAAAATCTCCTTGGCTTCAAGGCCAAATAGAGGCTATGCAAATAGCTCAGGGATGGCCTCCCACAATCAGTGATTGATTCTTCTGCTTAGGAAAAAGAAAACATTCTCAGTTTTGTCTCTAGCACCAGGTTGTCAGAGCTTTCTTCAGAGGTGAATAATCAGGGCCTCATCATTTGACATTGCTGGAGAAGCCAACAGTTCAGCTCTTCTTTGGGACCAATCACTGTCTTTGCACACTATCTAACCTCTGTAACTGAGGAACTGGGTTAGAATCCTGTGTGGAGAATGAGCTTATTTGAATAGTTTTATGGTGTTGTAGTGAGAGCTGAACAAATTAGGGAAAAAATGTATTTAGAAAAATATTTGAATCCAGTAATCCCACTTTAGGGTGTTTACACAAAATATTTGAAGTCAGTTTGTTGAAGAGGGATCTGCACTCCAACGTTCAGGGCAACACTGTGCACAATAGTCAGTTCAGGAATCAATCTAAGTGTCCATCAGCCCATGAATGGATTAAAAAAAAAAAAAACATGTGTGCACGAGGGAATGCTGTTCAGCCTCAGGAAAAGAAATTTTGCCATTTGTAACAACATAAATGGAATTGGAGAACACTATGCTAAGTAAAATAATCCAGACAGAGAAAGATAAAAGGCACATGTTCTCATTTATGTGTAAATTCTGAAACTACTGGAGTCATAAAAACAGAGAGTAGAGGCTAACATATAGGGAAATGAGACGATGAAGGTCAAGGTGAAATCTCCTAAGGCAGGAAGGATAGGTTTTACTTTTTCTGAGAGATACACTATACTTGGTGGTGAATCCAGCAAATAATACTGTACAATTCACACTTGCTGAGCATAAATGTTTTCACCATAAAAATTATGAACATTTGAAGCAGTAGGTATCACTATAATTATTTTCATTTTATTATTCTTTAACATTGTGTTTTTGAAACATAACATCACTTTGAACCTAGAACATATGAATATAATTTGTCCATTTATGAAGAAAAGATAAATCAGATCTATAAGTAGATACAGCACATGGGTTACCACATTGAAAAAACTGGATGTATTAAATTCTTTAATAATTATACTTATTTAGTGTCAAATAAATCACCTTACATATTAGAAGGAATTTTACTGTCCTTTCCCAGAATCATGAATATTACTGTATTATTAAATGTGCGACAATAAATTGAATTGGATTTTTGCTCTGTCCCATATTTCTAAAACTGCCATTCAACATGTTGTTACATTATTTCAAATCCAAAAGTTAAACAACTTGTTGCCCCTTGGACCAGCCTATTTTCCATTCAATTTAATTACTGTGTGAACTTTTAAATTATGAACAGCCTGAACTCTTAGTTCTTCAGTCTTTAGGTGTGAAAAACAAACTACGGACTCTCTTTTTTTCTTTAAGTTAGTTGAGATTATTCATTTGACCTTACATTTATGAAAGTGTTCCTTTGTCATTTAAATGATGCACATCATCTTTTTCTCTGGTTTTTCCTGTTATTTCAGTTGTTTGGTTAGGAAGGGAAGCTGCTCCCTATTTCAGGGATGTTGGCATGAATTCATGAGATACTTATTTCTGTTGAAGTATAAATTAATTGAGTACTTTTCATTCTAAATCTCAATTATTTTACGAAGAAATAAGCATTAATAGTCTACATACATGTGATCAAATTACTTTTTATTACAAAAAAGCATCAGATTTATTTCTGTTTTGATCACTTTGGAAATCTTGTAGGATAGTGGCTGTTCCATATCAAGGATAGCTGTCAAGGCTACTGATGGTCCTGGCCTGGGTGACTGTAGTAAGTAGCCGAGTGCAGGTTTTATCAACATCTCATTTCCTTCCACATGCCTTAATTTCTTATTACTTCTCCTTAAAACCAAGCTGGCACAAAACTCAACTCAAAGTAAATCAAAGACTTAGACGTAAGAACAGAGATTCTGCACCAAATAGAACAAAAAGTGGCCCAAGTCTTTACCATGTTGGCTTAGGACCTGACTTCCTTAACAAGACTCTTAAT